ACTAATAGAATCAGCTGATTCTGGCATAAAAAGTGTTTCTTGGTGCAAAAGCATCATCCTTCTTCGACCTGGTTCAATAAATCTTGGTAACCTAGTTGATGAAGTTCCCGAATTAATTTGGAAACGACTATAAAAATCAAAGCGTTAAATCAAAAATCATTTTCGTCACTCGCTAGCTCTCTCTCACTCTCTCTCTCACACACACACACCTCTCTCTCTCTCTCTCTCTATCGCTCGCTCTCTCTCGCTCTCTCTCCCTCTCTCTCTCTCTCACGCTCTCTCTCTCTGGCTCTCTCTCTCGCTCTCTCTCTCTCTCTCCTTCTCTCTCACTCTCTCCTTCCCTCTCTCTGTCGTTTCATTCTGTCGAAATATCATCATGTCGAAATGACGTCGAATCGTCGAAATACCATAGCTAATATTAAACTTATTATGTACTCCCTAGCATACCAATTGTTTAAACATATAGGAAACTAATAGAATCGACTGATTCTGGCATAAAAAAGTGTTTCTTGGCAGACAAGCATCATCCTTCTTTGAGCTTTTTTAATACCAACTCTTCGCACGTCATTTGATGAAATTCCCGAATTAATCTAGAAGCATCTATAAAAGTCAAAGCGTTAAACTCCAAAGAATCGTATCGTTTAGTGTACCAGGACACTCACGTGATGATCTTCGTCGGCTTCGGCTTCTTGATGACGTTTCTGAGGAGGTGAGAAAATCGCTTTAGCGTAGTTTTTACTTTAATTTTTTACATTTTACGTAGTCTTTTACTTTTAATTTCATTCAATTTACTGTAAACCATTTTTATTGAACGCAAGTATGAAACGTAATTAACGATAATTCATGACAACACATTTTTCTTAAAGGGGCTCCGAAATCTGGTGCACGGCCCCCTGCTGTGATTCCTGGAAAATAGCCAGATGCAGCCGCAACGCGACCGCGCCACATCCCCTTTTGCCCCTATTTGGAGGCGAAAACGCTTGAATTTCAAAATTCTGATACTATTTTCGGAATCCTCACCGTACTTTGATCATTCCAGACTTTTAAATTATGAAAATTGACCAGAGAATCACCGAGATCGAGAGATTGGGTGCCTTACAAGGCATTACGACATCGAATCGCCGTGCACTCAATATGTCGTTTTCGCCCTAAAAAGAATTCGGTTTTTCTCAAACATTTTACGTTTTTTCGCAATCAAATCAGTTTTTTAGCACTTCTCGGCAGTGACCCTTTCGTTTTTTGACCCGTAGGTTCAATCCCCGCACGCGCGAATTTTGACTTCCGAGCCCCTTTAAAGGCTAAATACTTCTTAAAAATGACAGAGAATACTTTACTTTGCCCCCCGCCCCTCCATTTTTCAAGACTGCCAAATGGCAGCCCTAGGTCTCAGCTGTTATCTCCGAGCCGGGAATTGCGAAAATAATAAATATTATAGTTTATACCATTAAATGCACGTCTTACAGCTTTGCCGAATTTTGCTTGTTTTTGATAAAACTTTTTATATGACATTATTTTGAGCTGATATTAAAACTCGTACTTATTTAGTGAGTATATTTTTTGCTTCTCCACCGAATGGCCTTCCAAAAACCCCAAAAAATCGCAAAAATTTGGGAAATTGGAAGACCCTTTGACTTGGGAGGAGGGGGCAAAGTTTAGCACTGAAGACCGTTTTCGAAAAAATGTTTTATAACTTTTAGAACTTAGAATAGATTTTTTTCAATGAATTTTATCCGTCAAGGAAATCGATTTCCACAAACTTTACTTATAACGAATTTATAGTTTTACACACCTTATAATTTTTTGATTACATAATAAAAATTCTTTCCAATTCTAATAGTGATATTTTAATTCCAGGTACGGCTTCTCGGCGCTGTCCATCAACCTCCTACTGGCCGTAATTTCAATCGAATGGGCGTTGCTTATTCGCGGTTTTGTATCCGACGATTTCCGCGCGAGCGGCAAATTCCAGATTGGACTTCAGAGGTATTTGGCATTTAATTCTATTAAACGATGCATACATGTAAAATAATACAATTATTAATCCTCAAGCTATCTAGCTGGTCGGAGCACTTTCAGGGTGAATGTTTCAATTTTTTTGGGCGTATCTTCCGAAAGAGAGTCCACCAATTTCTCGCGTTCGCTAACTATACTGGATGAACAAAAAACCATTTTGGGTCGAAAAGAATCAATTTTGGACTTAAATCAAAATTAAGTTCAATTAAATTAGTTAAATATCATCAAGATTTGTGAAGCTTTTATGCTTAGGCATAGCTAGAAAAGGTAGAAACGCATCGACAAATTATAAAAAAGATCCTAGGCCTCGGCGAAAAAGAACCGATTTTTCCAATGTTTCAAAAATTTTCGTAATCAGCTGTGGATGGAGTCCTATAATATGGTTGGCTGTGTAACCATTGTCACATTCATCACGTCTCGGATTTTCAGTATGGCGAATTTTCGCTATTTTCTCGGGGATTTTGCAACGACATTCGTTAGAGCATCGAAAAATATACTTAGAATTTTTGTTTTAGATTATTTTAGATTATAACCAGGGTTGAAAAGCCGCTTCGCGACTTTTCAACCCTGGCCCCTCTGCGGGGCCTTTTGATACACGGGGACTGCATATCATAATTTGCATTAATATTACGAATTACGTTAGGGAAAGGCACCACAGGAATTACTTGAGCAACCGACGCGGAACCCCGCAGAGCCCAGAATGAGCCGAATTATAGCCGTATGCAAATTAGTCTATTTCCATATGTTTTTAAATCGCTAAAATAAGGTATAAAACGTCATTTTAGTAAAAATCTGATATGCGCGCAGTAATCTACGCCCTCGATTACCCCTAACCACTTTATTTCTGAACCATAAAATCCTCTGCCCTTCGAGTTATGGCTGGAACCCGGGTTTTTATGCAAAGTGTCCACACACACACAGAAACTATTTTTTTATATATAGTAGGATATTGTCATACAAAAAAGTTAAAGAAAACCAGGGTTGAAAAACCGCTTCGCGGCTTTTCAACCCTGGCCCCCGTCTTCTCCAATGATATTCTTGGCTTTGCATAATTTTCCCGGATTCGGATGACGAAAAATGAAAAATGCTCTTGCCCTTTATATAGGCTACCGCGACTTCCGGTGCATGCTAATTTGATCCTAACAAATTGCGGTGTCGGATTTTCCATGAAAAACTTAATTTTAATGTCGAAAACATCATATTTTGTAAAAGGTAATATGCGTGCAGCCATCTCCAGCCCATTACGCACCTAATGACGTATCGAACATACCCCGAAGTACTTCCCTTCTTGAGATACTACTGGAACACGGTGACGGAAGTTGCATGCAAATGCACACACACACACACACAGACACTATTTCCTATCCTATAAGCGAGAAAAGTATGTGTGTTTTCTGTAATGAAGATTTCTCGGCCGTCAGGCCGAATTTAGCGCTGATTTTTGGCATGGAGGCGGAGAAACACATCCTCTTTATACGCATTTTTTTGTTTTTCGAAATTCCTTCATTTAACGATTTCACAAGAAAAATAGTGTAAAACCCTTAACATTGTGGCCAAAAAAAGGTTTGTACAGAGGATATCTCGCGATCCAAATGGAATTGGGCGCTAATTTTTGGAGGGTAGATTGAAAATTGAATTCTCCCGATATATAATTCTGCGTTTTGTCAGATTTTGTAAAATAAGGTTTTTATGAGCATTTTTCTAAAAAGTTCTTAATAAAGTGGGGCAAGAGCCGTGGTTTCTGGGCCATAACTCGAAGCTCAGATGGAATTTCGGGCTGGAATTTGGACCACTTATGTATTCGATGGTGGGGATCACCAGCATCTTATTATCTTTACAAATTTCCCGCATATTCAAACTCGAAAATCGAATTTTGTAAAGGGACCGGTAGGCCTCACTCCGGGATCATTGGGTCGCCCTTTCTTTGCCTTCCCCCGCCCGGCTTTCCCCGGAAGAGAAGAGGGCTTTCACGCCGCCTCTTCCCATCTGGCCCATGGTGTAGTGGGTTTGCCCCGGTCTACCACGCGCATGGTCGTGGGTTCGGTTCCTGGGAGAATTGAATTTTTTTGCTTTTTGGTAGTTCAGCAACAAAACATATTTCTATGCTCTAGGTGTGCGAGGTTTAGGCCTGGCTCACACTCTAGCGCCGCAGGCCTAAGAAAAGGTCCTCGGCCCGGGCTCTCGCGCCGCAGGCCAATGATGGGTCCTTGATCCAGGCTCTTGCGCCGCAGGCCAAAACTTGGAGAAAAACCAGTAACTAGCGCCGCAGGCAAAAAGGTTCTAGCGCGAGGTTTAGGCCTGGCTCTCGCTCTAGCGCCGCAGGCCAAAGAAAAGGGGCTTGGCCAAGGCTCTGGCGCCGCAGGCCAGAGAATGGCTCCTTGACTCAAGTTATGCGCCTCAGGCAAAAAAAAAGAAGGTATTGGAATTCATCGTTCCTGGACGGGGTCCAGTGGAAAAGGGCCGCGAAGCGGGCTTTTTCCACTGGTTTTTATATATAGTAGGATACAAAAATTACTTTTGAAACTAGGCCTGGCATGCTAGCGTTCGACATTTCGCTAGTTTTTCGATATTTTGAAGGCACCATTCGATAGAGCATCACAAACTCTTCTAGAGTTTTAATCTCTTCTCAAAACAGCGTAATAAAAAATAGTTATAACAAAAACAAATTTGAACCCGGTTTCCACATGAGAACATTAAGTGAGAAGCTACTTTTCGACATTTTCGATATTTTTACAAATTCGGAAGAGCGTCAAAAACTATGCGAAGAATTTTAATTAAGGAAATAAGAAAATTTAGAGATCCTGAAAATTCGAAATTTGGAAAAGTTGAGATTCTGATAGGTAATCCACATCCAGCAACCTTGCAGACTGCTGTTCGCCGACTTTTCCGCGGCCGTGGTGTTGATCTCGATGGGGGCCGTATTGGGCAAGCTGTCCCCGGTACAGTACGTCATCATGGCCGTCATTGAGGTGCCGGTGGCCGTCATCATGGAATGGGTCGTAGTCGACAAATTGATGGTCAGTTGTTGGACCTTGAGGCCAGCCCAACAACCGTCGCCCAAAAAATCGGCTTTTGGAGCAACTGGGACGGCTAATTCACATGTCGATGTCGCGTATTTTGCCGAAAAATGTGCATGGCACGGCCAGTTGGCTGCAATCTTCAAAACCATGTTGTTGTTGAAATGCGGAATTTTACAAATAATTTTGTGAAATTTCGAGGTTTTCCGCGATTGCAAGTCAGCTAATTTACCTCAATTTCTCCATAAAAAATGACCGGAAGTTGCCGTTATGATCCAGAGGCCATTCCTTCATGTTTTTAAGCGCGTTATCAAGTGACACCTTACAAAAAAACATTGTTTTGAAGCTTGAGCCGACTCGCCGTTTCAAGGGCTTTCGAATGGTGTAACGGTCATTCCGATCCGATACTTCTGCACGAGTTAGGAAGGGTGTCTTTTATTGGGGCAGCCTGTAGTCGGAACTTCAGAAATTGGTACGAAAATGATTCTAACTAAGTGTTCATTGAAACACGTCGTTTTATAACGCATTTAAAAACATTCAGGAAGGTCCTCTGCATCTAATTAGCGGCAACTTACGGCCATTGTGCTTGGCGAAATTGAGGAAAATTGGCTCGTATGCAACCCCAAAAAACCGGCAAATCTTACGGCTCCCCGACACTTGCGCTGCCGACACTTGCGCCGCGGACACTTGTGCCGCGACATTTGCGCCGCGACACTTGCGCCCGACACTTGCGCCGCGGATCGTATATTGATTTAACCTGTAGTGAATTCGGTATTTCGCGCGATATGTGTAGGTAATTACTGTATTTTGCATTAAAACTTGACTGGAAGTGAGTAACGCCAATCCGGAGCGCTCCTAAAAGGCGTCAGGCAAGGTGGGCCGTCGCTTCGGACGGCCTGTTGAACCCCCCTTGGGGAGGGGGGTTCAACAGGTCCCGCGGCGAGAGAGGGCGCCCAGGGGAGAGGCGCAGAGACATTTTTTCCCGCGCGTAATCGATTCACTTATGCCGCCCCTATCCCTTTAACCAGAATCGGACTCCGCGCGAAAAATTGCATCTTCAAGTAGCTGAAACTAAGTATTACGGCGCAAGTGACGCGGCGCAAGTGTCGCGGCGCAAGTGTCAGCGGCGCAAGTGTCGCCGGCGCAAGTGTCGCCGGCGCAAGTGTCGCCGGCGCAAGTGTCGCGGCGCAAATGTCGCGGCGCAAGTGTCCGCGGCGCAAGTGTCGGGCGCAAGCATCGCGGCGCAAGTGTCGCGGCGCAAGTGTCAGCGGCGCAAGTGTCGCGGTGCAAGTGTCGCGGCGCAAGTGTCGGGCGCAAGCATCGCGGCGCAAGTGTCGCGGCGCAAGTGTCAGCGGCGCAAGTGTCGCGGTGCAAGTGTCGCGGCGCAAGTGTCGGGCGCAAGCATCGCGGCGCAAGTGTCGCGGCGCAAGTGTCGCGGTGCAAGTGTCGCGGCGCAAGTGTCCGCGGTGCAAGTGTCGCGGTACCAATCTTACAAAATTGCTTGTAAAATAGCCCATTTAATTAAAAACGAGGGCTTGAAGATTGTTGAAAACTCGTGATTTCAAGGGCTTTCGACCGGTATAACTATCATTCCGATCCCATACTTATCCGTCGAGTTAGAGGCAGGTGCTTTTTTTGTTGGGGCACCCTCTAATTCACGACTTGTATCGTTTTCAGATTAACGACGCCGGCGGCTCCATCGTCCTCCACACGTTCGGCGCCTATTTTGGGTTGGCCTGTAGCCTGGTTGGTAATCCGAATTTTATTTCGTGAATTAATTAAATTAATTAAATTTGATGCACTAAATTCTTAACAGACAGCGTCAAACCCGCAATTTCAGGTTCTACAACGCAAATCGCAGCGCGAGCACCCGAATGAGGGCTCCATCTACCACTCGGATCAATTCGCCATGATTGGTGAGTTTTTTGGAGTAGAATAAATTTTTTCTACACGGTTGGCAGCGCGTTTTGTGATCGTACGAAAAAGAATAGCATTTTTCAGCTAGTATATATTTAATGAAGCATTGAAAAATCAACTGAACTTCCTGAAAATCGATGTTTCTAATAGTGGCAACTTTGGCTTAATTTTAAATTCAATTATTTGCAAGTCCAAACAGGGGAAAAAGCTAATGCTGCGCGGTCGCATTGCGGCGGCATCTGGCTATTTACCAGTAATCAACGCTGGGGGGCCGTGGACCAGATTTCGGAGCCCCTTTAAAGGGATAAACAGGGTTTTGGCGGCAAATATATAGTTATGTATTCCGGCAAGTACAAATGACGCGCGAATTTTGTGCGCTAATGGGCGCCCATTGCCGCACATAATTCGGGCACCTTTCCCTCTTGTAGCCTCCCTCTCCCTCCCAATGGCTTGCCACTATGGCCTAATGGATAGCATCCAGGCATACAAAACGGTGGCCTCGGGTTCGACCCCCACCCGCGGCTAGGTTTTTGCTTTTTGAGCCCCGAAAAGGTTGGGCATCCGTTGAGAGCAAGAAAGTGGCGCACCGGGCGGGAGTCGAACCCGCGATGGTTCGCTCCACAGTCCGACGCGCTAGCCACTACACCACAGGGCCAAGTGGGGAAGGGAGTCAGAGACGCCCCAAACCCCAGAGGGCCTTTGCCCAGTACGGGGCACCACTAATGACGCATCTCTCCGCGCGTTCTTGGGGGCAGCACCCTCGGGGTGACAGTGCGCGTTCCATCGTTCTGGTAGTCTTTAAACTTTTAAACTTGCAACTTGCAGGTTCAATCTTCCTGTGGGTATGCTGGCCTTCGTTTAATGCGGCAACGGCTACCCCATTGGATGCGAAGGAGCGGGCCGTACTCAATACAGTACTCTCGCTGGTTGGGTCGACAATGGCTACTTTCATGTTGTCACAAGCCATCGATCGCCATGTATGTCTCATTTTTAATTTGCGACCATGAATATTTATTACAAATTAAAAATAAATTATTAGCATTAAAGACTGCTAGAACTCTTGAACGCACACTGTCACCCCCAGGGTGCGCCCCCCCAAGAACGCGCAGAGAGAGGCGTCATTAGTTGCACCTCGTACTGGGCAAAGGCCCTCTGGGGTTTGGGGCGCCTCTGACTCCCTACCCCACTCGGCCCTGTGGTATAGTGGCTAGCGCGTCGGACTGTGGAGCGAACCATCGCCGGTTCGACCCCCGCCCGGTGCGCAATTTCTTGCTTTCAATGAAATTTTGATCGTTCTGACGGTCTTTAATAAACCGCGTTTACTAATACAATATTTTCGAATGAAAACACAACTCTCGGGATATTTTTTGCTGCTCTATCAAGTGGCGTTTTTAAACAGTCGAAACATTATACAATTTTTTCAATATAAATTGATAAAATTATAATGATCATTTTTAGAGGTTGTTTTAGGTTGTACTATAACTATTTTACCTGACAATACTTTGAGCTGCCATAATAACCTCCAGTATATTTTTTCGATTTCGATGTTCCATCGAATGGCGTCGAAAAAAAATCCGGAAAAATAGCAAAATTAACCTTTTTTGTGTTAAAGTTTGGTTTTTACAGCGAAAATTCGACATGGTCACCATCGCCAACTCGACGCTGGCCGGGGGAGTTGCTATTGGTTAGTTAAAGGAAAAGATCTATTTTATTAAAACTTTTACTAAAATCGTAAAATCACAGATCTCTAAGTGCTCCGTATACTAAAAATGTTTCACTTTCCAGGTTTTATCTTTTTTTTCAGGGACAATCGCCAACGTAATTCTCGAGCCGGTCTACGCCATTTTGATCGGCTTCATCGCTGGCATTGTCTCGGTGCTCGGCTACAAGTTCTTGACGGTATTTTTTAAATTGGTTAATAAATTAACCAGTGGAAAAAGCCCGCTTCGCGGCCCTTTTCCACTGGACCCCGTCCAGGAACGATGAATTCCAATACCTTCTTTTTTTTTGCCTGAGGCGCATAACTTGAGTCAAGGAGCCATTCTCTGGCCTGCGGCGCCAGAGCCTTGGCCAAGCCCCTTTTCTTTGGCCTGCGGCGCTAGAGCGAGAGCCAGGCCTAAACCTCGCGCTAGAACCTTTTTGCCTGCGGCGCTAGTTACTGGTTTTTCTCCAAGTTTTGGCCTGCGGCGCAAGAGCCTGGATCAAGGACCCATCATTGGCCTGCGGCGCGAGAGCCCGGGCCGAGGACCTTTTCTTAGGCCTGCGGCGCTAGAGTGTGAGCCAGGCCTAAACCTCGCACACCTAGAGCATAGAAATATGTTTTGTTGCTGAACTACCAAAAAGCAAAAAATTCAATTCTCCCAGGAACCGAACCCACGACCATGCGCGTGGTAGACCGGGGGCAAACCCACTACACCATGGGCCAGATGGGAAGAGGCGGCGTGAAAGCCCTCTTCTCTTCCGGGGAAAGCCGGGCGGGGGGAAGGCAAAGAAAGGGCGACCCAATGATCCCGGAGTGAGGCCTACCGGTCCCTTTACAAAATTCGATTTTCGAGTTTGAATATGCGGGAAATTTGTAAAGATAATAAGATGCTGGTGATCCCCACCATCGAATACATAAGTGGTCCAAATTCCAGCCCGAAATTCCATCTGAGCTTCGAGTTATGGCCCAGAAACCACGGCTCTTGCCCCACTTTATTAAGAACTTTTTAGAAAAATGCTCATAAAAACCTTATTTTACAAAATCTGACAAAACGCAGAATTATATATCGGGAGAATTCAATTTTCAATCTACCCTCCAAAAATTAGCGCCCAATTCCATTTGGATCGCGAGATATCCTCTGTACAAACCTTTTTTTGGCCACAATGTTAAGGGTTTTACACTATTTTTCTTGTGAAATCGTTAAATGAAGGAATTTCGAAAAACAAAAAAATGCGTATAAAGAGGATGTGTTTCTCCGCCTCCATGCCAAAAATCAGCGCTAAATTCGGCCTGACGGCCGAGAAATCTTCATTACAGAAAACACACATACTTTTCTCGCTTATAGGATAGGATCTTTTATTTTTAAGGACATTAATCTTAAGGCGAAATATTTTTTGATCATTATCTCACGCTTCCTCAATTTTGGTGCCAAGCCAAATAGTGGGTCTTGTAGCGCTCGAAAAGGTGCATACTTTCCTGTGCCTGAAATTTTCTAAAATCGATGATACCATTTTCATAAGCGATTTTTAATGCATGAAAAGTTAATGCCATGATCACGATAATGTGGAGGTTGAAGGCATAATTATGAATGTATCCAGTTTATTTCAATTTTTCAGCCGTTCCTGACGGAGCGTATCGGTTTGCACGACACCTGCGGCGTGCATAATCTGCATGGAATGCCCGGCCTGATTGCCGGCATCGTCTCCGTAATTGCCGTAACTTATCCGGAAGACGACTACGGTGCAAGGTACATACCTACAGGGTGTTCGAAAATTCCCCGCCCCAGCGGGACCGAATCGTGTTCGATTTTTACAATATAGGCCACAGTAAAGTGTTTTTGGTCAGGATGGAAATTCGGTTCAGGACCATGCCTGTCTTGTGCAGAATTTTTTCGCTTATTCCGAATCCGATTTCCAAATCTGCAAAATAACTCGGATTCCAAGGTTATGCAGCATTTAAAGGGATAACGACGGCATAAGTAATCGGTGACGCGGGAAAGGGAATCTCTCTGCGTCTCGCCCTTGCGCGCGTTCTCTACCCTGTTGGCTACGTGCCAAAAAGTCGATCAGTAGTGCTCGACCTATGCCGTCGGTATCCCTTTAAATGCGGTTTTCGGCCCTCGGCAAGTCATTGGCGATGATGCCGTCCTTTTTTGTTTTACTGTTCTAATTTATCGCGAATCAGAAAGATCAAAATAATCCAGCATAAAGGTCGCCGCCACTTTTTTTGGTTAAAATTGACTTAAAAACGTCATAACTTTTGGATCCAAACTATTTTGCAATTTTTGAAAACTGATTCGGAATCAGCAAAAAATTCTGCACCAGATAGGCTTGATCCCGAATGAAATTTCCATCCTGACAAAAAACACTTTACTGTCAGAGAGGGCAGTCTAGCACTGCTCTCAGATGTTCCAAATTCCCGAATATTTCGCTCGATTTTCGGCATTTTCATGCCAAATTTACACGTTTTCACAAAAAAGTTTGGGAATTTTTCACCTTCTTTTCCGCTGTAATTAGGCATCTTCGTACATTTTTATAGGCTGTAGCAAACGGCGCTAAAAGAATGGCGAAAAATGGCAAAAAATTTCGAAAATTAGCTTGGCAGCCCGTTTTGAACAGGCCCAATCCCCCCCCCCCCGCTAGCGAACCAGAACCAAAACCAAAAGATGTTTCCAAAAATCGTTACCCTTGTGAGTCCTGATTTTCAATTACAGCGACTTAGAGAACTTTCCCGAAAACTTGCTCCATTTTCAGCATCAACAACATCTACACGGGAGTTCGATCGACGGGTAGCGGAGGTCGCGGCTATTCGTATGGGGTTCAGGTAAAAATTGGGAATCTTAAAGTTACTCAGGAATTTCTTAAATGTGACATGAAAAAGATCGGCTCTTAAGACACAAAAAAATTATCGTTGGGCTGCCGCAAAAGGCGTGAAAATTCATAACTGTGTTTTTGTAAGAAACCTCTTTCATCGGAGGAGCATTAGAAATTCCGCGCATTTTGCAAAAATACTATACAGGGTGTCCCAAAAAATATCCCCCCCCCCCTAGCCGGCCGCGAACCTATCCGATTTTTACGATTTAGGCACCCAGCGAAAGCTCTCGTAAAGGCGAGTCCAGCACGTCTTGCCAATTTACGAAATCTCGAAATTTTTTGCTCGTTTTCCAGCATTTTTCATGCAAAAAAGGACACGCTTTTTTAACCAAAACGCAGTTTAACCGGGTTAAGCGCTACCCAAGCTCTGTTCTTGCGAAGGGCTTGCAAAAAGCCGTTGTTGGGCTGCCAGGAAAGGCACTAAACTTTTTAAATTGTGATTTTTGTAAAAAACGCGGTGGTCAGAAAAACATCAGAAAATCCGTCCGTATTGCAAAAACATTAGTAAATGACAGAAAAATTTCGAGATTTCGGAAATTGGCAAGACGTGCTGGACTCGCCTTTCCGAGAGATTTCGATAGGTACCTAAATCGTAAAAATCGGATAGGTCTGCGGCCGGCTAGGGGGGGGGGGATTTTTTTTGGGATACCCTGTAGTAATTGCCAGAAAAATTTCAGAATTTCGAAAATCATAAAGAATTTTACTCTTCAGCTCGTGAAGAGCTTTCGATAAATGCCTAAATAGTAAAAATCGGTCATGACTGCGGCCGCCGATACTTTCGCCATTTTTTGGGGAGCTCTTGACGCCATACGGGAAGAAGTATCGGATGTATGGTAGTTACACCATTCGAAAACCCTTGAAACGGCCAGTTTGCAACAATCTTCGAAACCATCTTTTGTATACTTCGCCGCCCACCCGGGGTGGGCCCCCCCCCCTGGCTAGGGAATGGTTTCGGGCGGACATCGGACCCAGCTATGTGAGTATGTGCATCTTGTAGAGCTCGACGAGACGAATCGATTGATGTAACTTTTAGCTGCGGATACCTCTTTTTAAGCTTTTAAGTTACAGCCGTTTAAAGTTGTTCGCGATACCTTCATAAGCCCTCCCCACACCCCAGTCGCCGTGCTCTGGTAGTCTGGTGGGTTAGTGGTCGGCGTCTGGGGATGGTAGCGAGGGTACGGATCCGCAGACGGTTTTTATTTTTTGCTTTTTGGTCGAAAGCTTCCATTTTACATCCCGAAGGACTACATTAACTTTTTTTTCAATTTGCTAATCATATCATATCCCTATCAATAAACATAAGCGGAACACAGGATTTTTCGAGCTATAGTCATCAACTTTGGTGTGGGTGAAACTTGCCACCAACTTCTTTGGTGTGGGTGCTGGAGATCAAAAAATTAAAAAAAAGTTAATGTAGTCCTTCGGGATGCAAGGGTCCGCCCGCTTCGAGGTCCGCCCGAAAACATTCCCTAGTGGGGGGACGGAGGGGGACTGGGAGGGGGGGACCGAGGGGGATCCCCCAGGGGGGAGTCTTTCCCCCACCCTTAATATATTTCCTTGACCCTTTTGCGAATGGCGTCTTTAAAAAGCGGAAAAACAGCGAAAATTTTGAAAATCAGGATTAGTCCTCCATTTTCGAAGGCTAAATTTGATTTTACTATGAGTTTCTTATACACTGAGCATTATGTCCCTTTTCCAAAGTACCATTTGAGCAAAAATCCTTCGGAATTTTTTTTTGTTCTAAGGATGCCAAAACGGACTTGTTGTGTGAATTGGTGATGGGATACGGCTACTTTCTCTCATAGAAAGCGTTACATGAAAATCGCTAAAATTTGAGATTTTTCAAAAATTTTCACTGAGGCCATAATTATGTCCAGCAGTGTATTCCGATATTTGGAGCCTTTAAAACATCTGTAGATATTTTTCGATGCGCTATCGAACGGCGTTCAAAACACCCCAAACTATCTCAAAAAATGCAAAAATTTCAAGACCGTTTTGGGATTTTAGTTACGTAAAATGTAACCTCCTGGTGACTACTGGGCTCGTTTTTATCCTCTAGCTGATACTCCAATGAATTTTTTCCCAGCTTTTATGCGAAAACCAGCTGAAAGGTCAGCCTGATCACTTCATAGGTGGATTGTTGTCGTCGTTGAAAAGAAATGTTTTGAACCAAGAGGTTGCGCAAAGTCTTCCCGTCACTTCACTTTCCATATGTTGGATTCCACGACCTATTGATGAATTTAAATCGAAAGTTGAGCGCATTGAAATGTCGAGAAAGTAATTTTTCTACATTTCGGCGACAAAAATACAATTCTTGAAGATAAAAACAGAGACCTTGATTGATTTTAGAAAATTTTAGGACCCTTTTAGGTAAAGTAAGGTCCCCTGATTATCTCTGGGATTGTTTTTTATCCTCTATCGGATAAATTTTTCGTACCTGCGTAAGGCGTACCTGCGCGGTGCGTGTCGCGAAGCGGCAAAATCTATGCGAAGCTATCTAGAAAAACCTGCCCTGAACTGTTAGCGGGGGCAGGCGGTTTTTTGGCAGGGGAACAAAATTTTCCCACCGTTGATTCTTTGCGGCCTAACAAAATATTTTTATAGCAGCTTTATATCATTTTATATAGCTTTTAGATCTAAAAAACAACATATGAATTATAAAAAATTCGAAAAATTTGTGGCTTTTTGGGCAAAATTTTAGGAAAAGAAAAAAAAAGATAAAAATTGTCCGATTTTCAAAATCAAAATTTTTTTATGAATTCTACTAGATTCTTTTGATTGCAAGCCGCTATTTTACAAGCTTTTTTGTAAAATTTTGCCGCTTTCAATGTGATAATTTGTTTCACCTTCTCGAGGCAAAATGACCTGAAGTGGCTGTTAATTAGATGCAGAAGTCGTCCCTGAATGTTTTTAAATGCGCTGTAAAATGGCGCGTCTAAATAAACACCTAGTTTTAAAGATTCCCACAAACTAGCCGTTACTCGGGCTTTTTATTGGTGTGACTTTCATTCCGATCCGATACTTCAGCACCGAGTTCAAAGGGGTTTTTATTGCGGCGACCTGTAGACATCAACATGGCGATGACGATGGCGACATCAACATCATCCATTTTAGTTGTCAAATTTTGAAAAAATAATTGAATAAAAGGGAAGAAGTAATTTTCATTTTTTTGCACTTTCAGAAGTTTATGCAAAGTGATAAAAGCATGGAGATAAGACGGGGCCAGGGTTGAAAGTCGCGAAGCGACTTTTAAACCCTGTTTTTCGTTATTAAAATTATTATTGTGTAAAGATCTCGACCAACCACGTGGTTAAGAGGCAACTAGCATGCGCCGGAAGTTGGGACAGCCTATATTTAGGTTGAAGAAGCGGTTTCAGAGAGAAAAGGTGCCGCATTTACTCCTTTCATCATTCTAAAACAAATTGTAATTAATTCTATTTAGGCGACTCATCAACTCGCCGCAATCTTCATCATCCTCGGCGCTTCCTTACTTTCCGGCGCGCTGACAAGTAATGTAATGTACTTTTGTAGCGGTATTTTCTTGATTAATGCTATTTTTAATGATTTCCATTAATATTTATTTCACCCAAATTCGGCTAATTAATTTTTATGCTTTTTTGCATAGAGTACTCAACTGCGCGCAAAAATGATGGCTAAGGAGCCGCGCAAAATAGAGAATTTAGAAGCGACCAGGGTTGTTCATTTTGCGTCCGGTCCGCGTCCGTCCGCGTCCGGGACGGGACGCGTCCCGTCCGTCTCATTAGCATAAAATTTTGCGGACGGACGGGACGGACGCATGGCGGACGGGGACGGGGAGCGTCCGCGTGTCCGAGATGCAAATTAATTCATGGTAATCTTAAAATGAAAACCAGAAAAGTCGCAATAATTTAGCAGGTTTTGCGGTAAATTTGATTTTATTGGACAGTAGAACAGGTTGTACAAATATACATGCTAAAAACCAGACCCAACCAAAGGTTCTACGCCCAAAAATGAAAAACTAGGCGCTTCATTATGATTTGAATCTGTTTTTCTTAATTGCATCGCGGACGCAGTGACTTCCGGCGTCCGCCGTCCGTCCCGTCCGTCCGGGACGCGTCCCCGTCCGTCCGCAAAAATTTATGTAAATGAGCGGACGGGGACGCGTCCGCGTCCCGGACCGTCCGCGTCCGTCCGCGAACAACCCTGGAAGCGACTGAAACTTCGTAAATTAAACGCTACGAAATAGGAGAAAGCGTTGAGTTTAAGATTTTTTTGCAGTTTCCAAATGCTTTAGACAGCCTTCAAACTCTATTAAACTCTCTCTAAAAAATTCCAGGTCTTTTTCTCCGACTAAAATTCTGGCGCCAACTCGATGACGAGGCCCACTACTCGGATGCCGAATTTTTCGAGATCCCAGATGATTTTGAGAGGGTGACGGCCACGGCCCGGGAATGAAACGAAATACTGGTATTGATTGCGGCGAGCATAAATAAATATATTTGAGCATTATTTCGTTTTAGTAGTAGACCAGGGGGGGGGGGAAGGAGCCGCTTCGCGACTCTCCCCCGCTGGACCCCGCCTAGGCACTATGAATCGGGCGTATTTTCACAACACGTTACCCAGATAGAGTCATTCTTCTATCTCTTTGTACCAATAATTATAGTATGCCCTTTGGCAATACAGGGTGTCCCAAAAAAAAAGACACCGGTCGCATTTCTTCATATCGGGTCCGACCGACTTTAAATTTTGCACAAAGGTGGCGAAGCCCATTTCCCATGAACAAAGAAGGTTTAAGCACGATCGGTCGGCGGATTTTAAAGTTATATCGAAAATACTTTTTATTTGTTTAGTATTTATTTAGTATGGGGTCTTCTGTAATAAACTAGTGTATTAATAAAATTATAAAATTGAAAAGAATTCCACGAAGGGAAAAAACTCGCCGAAGCGAGCGAATGCCTCCGAAGAGGCCAAATTCGCCGAAGCGGACGGTTCCCCGAAGGGACAGACTTGCTACGAGAGCAAGCGGGTTGTCCAAAAGGACAGAAACCTCACCATGAAGGCGAGGCGGGTACTCGTAAACGAGTATTTAAGAGGTTAGAATAAGAACAGTTGTGCCTGTTTCGACCCTTTAATCCAAGACAGGCTTAGAATACGTCAGGGTGGGTCTCATCAGCTGGATCTTTGACGCTTTTAGAGGTTAAATAGAATAGGTTGGATAAGAGTATAGTGGAAAAAAATAGGAATTAAAGTATAAAGAAGGAAATGTGGAAGGAAAAGAAGCTAATATAAAGGGAGGAATATTTTAAGTGTATTTCATCTACTTTTTGGCCCACTTTGGGAGGCTTCCTTAGCTCGGGGAGAGCCAGGGGAAAGCCCGTGTCGCAAGGTGCGGAGTGTAGGGTGGCGTAATCGGAGGTTAGGCCGAGAGGAGGTGATTTGCATGATTTTCAAATTGATTTTTATGGAATACAGTACACGGCTAGCAGATTTGGAAAACGACGTCTTGCTCAGAATTTTTTTGTCTATCGAACTAGCTAGGTCTCGCTCAAAAAGTCCAATATCAATACCAGATCTATCTCTTTGTTAGGCCTTTTCGGAGTCGGATTCGGATTCGGAAAACCCCAGACCGATCAAAAATTACGAAAATTTTTTTTAATGATTAAATTATTAATTAAAATTAAATTATTAATTATTAAATTATAAATTTAACCTTGAAAGTGGTGTCTTAATAAAACGAGTGGGGAACGGGTTTTGCAGGATGTTAGACATAGTGAGCCAGGTGGCGCGCGTTTCGGCGAGGGGGAGGGAGCGCGGGGGGTAGCCCGAAGTCCAGCCGCTTGCGGTGTCGCTTGCGGGGCAAGCGGCTGGTTTTGAGATATTTCACGCATTAATGGGACGTATGGCTGAAAAGTTACCGCGGGGGGGCAGGGGCGTACACGAACCCGATTTTTGGGGGGGCAACTCGAAAATTTTTTGTCGACCTCCCCCGGTCACCACTTTCAAAACATTCAAAAATCGCAGCTATAACAGCGCCGCAGGCCGCAAAAAATAAAGAAATAGCGTTAGAAACGCTCAAATTCATGTAAAAACATCACAGAAAACGCGCCGCAGGCGAAAATTTTATATGGACAGTTGACACACTAATGAAAAACAGCGCCGCAGGCAAAAAAATTTTGGAAAAATAGGCTCCATAGAAGTAAAAACCGTCTTAAAAACAGTAATAAACAGCGCCGCAGGCAAAAAAAATTTTATTGAAAAAATCATAAGGGTCCCCCCTTATGAACTTTTCGGCCTTCGGCCGATTTTGGGGGGGGCAACTTGCCCCTGTTGCCCCCCCCTCGTACGCCCCTGGGGGGGGTAAACGATGCTTTAGCGGCTCATTTCATCTACTGGCTTTCGGCCCCCCCTGCAGATCCGTAACTTTGGTCACTTTTTTCGAGCAGTGAGGTACGGGATTCCCGGGGAGAAGTCATGGTCCCCCCGCTAACCCAACTGAACTTATACAATCCTGTCTGAAAGTCTCCCATCATGAATTTGCAATTTGCATGCCATCCAGCGAATTTGGGTTTAGACGCACGAATTCGCCATTCTTCATCGCCCTCGCTCTCATCGGCGGCATGCCGAGTCCGTTTGGAGAGGTAAACACACTTTGTCACTAAGAATCCTAGTAATTTTTCCTAAAAGTAATCTTTCCGTAACTGATCAAAGCCGACCAAGAAGTCGGGTACTTATCAAGCTGGGCGGGGGGGGGGCATTTGGGTACCTATTAGGGGACACTTTGTCGAAGTCGAAAAAATGACATTTTGAGAACATACCGTAACGTGAAATTTGGCCATAAAAAGTTGGTACTTATCAAGTTGGGGGGGGGGCACTTTGGTTTTCGACTGTCGGAGTCTTTCTGGGCTAGTTTTTTGTGCGGGACTGGAATATAACAAAATCAGGGTAGCAAAACACGATTCCCAAAACATTTGTGAAGATTTAGGGATGTAGACATTCGGCATCGACCTAAAGACCAATATATCCAGCTTAAAGGGCACGTTCAGGGAGTTTTTTTTTGAAAAAGAGCAGACTTTTGCCGCGGCGGGGGGTCGAACCCGGGCCCCCCGCTCGGGGACGCGGACGGATACCAGTCAGCCACAGCTAGAACCTGGCGTGGGGGTGAGCTGCTCCAGCGGTCCTGACGTCCATAGGGTGTAACCGTTGGGACGGGTACACGGCCCCTCCTGAACGTGCGCTTTTAAATTAACAATTGTTTTAGGTAAGAGTTTACTTTACCCCCACAGCCGAAGGGTCTCAAAGTTGTCGGTATTTTCGCTTATTTTGTCGGGATTTTCGCAACGCCATTCGATAGAGCGTCGAAAAATATACTAAGAGTTTTAATTTGAGCCTACAATAATTTAAAATAAAAAAGTTATGGCCAAAAACTTCCGGCTGGGGGGGGGGGTAAAGTAAACCGTAGCCTTGTTTTACAATCAAAAGTCATAAAGGCTACGGCTTACTTTACCCCCCCCCCCCAGCCGGAAATTTTTGGCCATAACTTTTTTATTTTACATTATTGTAGGCTCAAATTAAAACTCTTAGTATATTTTTCGACGCGCTATCGAATGGCGTTGCAAAAATCCGGACAAAATAGGCGAAAATACCGACAACTTTGAGACCCTTCGGCTGTGGGGGGGGGTAAACTGCACTCTAACCGGAAAGACAATGTTATTAGCCACTACAAACCATTAATTTGACGCCTTTAGTCGGCAGATGACGTCGAAATGAGGGCCCGAACAGCGGCCGTGGCGGCGTCCATCTTCGCCCTCCGTCTGACCCTCGTCCCGTTCCTCACACAGGTCGGTTTGGCGAATTGGAATCTGAAAGTGTTTTGAACCAGAACTCTTCTACAGTTTCTGAATCCCGACTCGGAATCGGCGAAAAATTCTGCCCAAGCTAGTCTTGGTTCTATCCGGAATTGCCATCCTGAGCAAAAACGCTTTCATTTTTTGGGATGCTGTACAGTTGAATAGGCGGAGGTGAAAAAGTCGAAAACTTGGCCATTTTGCCAAAAACAAAGTTCTCCGACCTAAAATCAAATTTTTAATTAAGATTCGTGACGTTTTTATGCTTGGGAATAGTTAAAAACAATGTAGAAACGCATCCGGGTTCTTGCGTATTCCCGGCGGGGGGACCGAACTTTTTTCTGATTTTTATATAAATAGTCGAATTGTTTCTGAACTGTTTATAGCCATTCATAAGCATAAAACATGACAGAATTTAACAAAAAAAAATGAATTTTAGCTCCAAAAATAAATTTTTTCGACCAAAAAATGACCAAATTTTCGACTTTCTCTAGCGTTTTTCTAACCTTAAAAATAGTTTTTTCCGATTCAAATAGGCTTCATTTTGCTAAAAACAATATGAAACCACTTGATGGGGGGGAATATTATGAGGCTTTATAGATACGCGATTTCGCAAAATGGATAAAGGAAAATTTGAGATTTGGGCAAAAAAGTCCCCCCGCCACCCTCCCGGGAATACGCAAGAACCCGCATCCGCTATTTATTGAAAAAATTAGGCAGCCACCAAAGCTAGAATGACAATTTCAGATCTGGAGGGCCCGTTATTTGGCGAGAAGGGCCATCATCGATTTGCGCGCTGAAGAGGACGGGGTTTGGGAACAATTCTTGCTGTTTACAAATCATTTTCTCAGCTACTTTTCGGGATCGCCCGACGACAGGCAGCGATCGATCGTCTCAAGGGAGGATCTTCCCCGGGAATGTGGTACCGGATCCGGAAAGCCAAGGACAGAAGAGGTCCGTTTTAGGATTTCTCGATTTTATCCGGACGCCATTCGATCGAGCATCGAACATATATCGAATGTTGTCATGGCACCCAAAATCGTATCTGTAGGCTATGCTAGGGGACTATTTTTGTAGCGAAACTATTTTTTGCGTTTCTTTTTGCTACGAATTACAACTCTTGGTATATTTTTCGATGCTCTATCGAATGGCACCAAAAGAAATTTTGCAAAAATATCGAAAATGTCGAAAACTTGCTTTCTTTCTATGTCCTTCATGGAAACAACGTTTAATACTGGTTTTTTCATTCCTGTTTTATATTACACCAGATGGTTCCAGTCGCTTCGCGACTGCAACCATCTGGCCTTCGGGCTACCCTTCATGTCATACACCATCACATCCATCCCTACCTCTCCCAAAATACCCCGCTAATGGCTACCGATACCTCCCCTAACAGAAACCCCCTTCAAAAACTACCTAAATACCTTCCCGATGGCTGCAGATACCTCCCCTAGCCGAAATCCCCTTCAAAAACCACCTAAATACCTTCCCGATGGCTTCAGATACCTCCTATGGCTGAAATCCCCTTCAAAAACTACCTAAATACCTTCCCGATGGCTTTATTTACTTTAAATGACTTAAATAATAAATTAACATAATTAAAAAGTATTAAAAAGTATTAAAGTAACTTAAAAAAGCTATCTGGGCGCGGGAAGGGGCCTGGGGAAGAGGGGCGAAGGGAAAGGGGGCGTGGCCTGCCGGGAGACGGGCCCCCACCCCTTTTACTAAGGAAAAAACTTTCAAAGTTAATTTTAATAATTTAAATTAAAACTTTTTCATAATTTTTTATCAGTTTGGGGGTTTCTGACCACGCTCTATCCGAATCCGAAGAGACCTAAGCTCTAGCTCCTTTTCCCTTCGAGTTGAATCTGGGACATGACGGACAGACAGACAGACAGACACCACAGCAAAATTATTATAGTAGATTATCCTAGTATATATAAAAAAGTAGGGTCTGCGTGTTTGTGTGTGTGTGTGTGTATGTGCCACTTTGCATCCACTTCCGTCTGTCTGCCCGGAAGATATTTCGATAGGGATGAATTTTAAGGTATGTATGATACGTCATTACGTGCGTAATGGCCTGGAGATGACTGCACGCATATTAGATACAACGAAATCACCTATTTTCGACATTAAATTTAAGTTTTTGTGAAAACTTCTTTGTTAGGAATAATTAGCATAGACAGGAAATTGGGATTCGACTATATAAATGGACAGGGGGGGGTTGTTTTTCCTTTTTTTTTGTCATAAGAATTTATGAAAATTATGCAAATTGAAGGATGAAATGGGGTCAAAAGGGGCCAGGGTTGAAAAGTCGCGAAGCGGCTTTTCAACCCTGGTTTTCAACTAAAATTAAAACTTTTAGTATATTTTTCGATGCTCTATCGAATGGCGTCAAAAAATGCCGAGAAAAGAACAAAAACATCGAAGAAGGCATGCCTGTTCCCTCCGCCCCGCGTAAAATCCCCCGCCCTCCCTGATAGCCTACACCGGAATTCTTGATTTTGCCGGGCTTCTTTGACGCCATTCGATCGAGCATCGGAAATATACTGAATGTTGTAATGGCGCTCAAGATAATGCAATGTGTAGGCGGTATGGCAACGACAAAAATCGCTTTGGAAAATACAAGAAACAGGTACAAGGATACACGCCAAAGTTATATAAGCTAGGGTATGGACCTCACCATGCTTTTTCAGCAGCCAAGCGTCGTCCCTACAAGAATTCCTGGTCCCGCGCGATGTACGCCACCCTGGCAGCAGCGACTTCGAGTACACCGCACGCGTCATCACCGAACCCCTCGGAAGATGTAGGCTTCATTTTTAGGCTAGGTTGGGTTCGGCCCGGAATTAATTCGAGGAGACACCGGGAATGATGCGAGGCGTTCCCGGAAGATTTCCGGAATAGATAAGGCCGGCTCTCTAAAGACCTCAACAGTTACGGACTGTGCTTAAAGGGGTGCGGAAGTGCCAAATATAGGCCCGTTTTGGAGGGGCCTTATATTTCTGGCAAATTGCCAGCCACGCAGCGGGAGGAGAGGGAGCCGTGGCCCTTTCGATGTTTGCGCAATTTCTTTGTGAAAACACTATAATTGCCAGAAATATAAGGCCTCTCCCAAAAGGGCTTCTGCCACTTCCGCGTCCCTTTAATATCGAGAAATTTTAGCCAGACACAACCACCACCGCTGCTCCTACTGCGCCTCCATCAACGTTGGCTACTTCTTCGATCCAGAGCGAGGGCACCCCCAAGGACTCGCGCCAGCATTCGTCATCTCAGGCAGGTTTCCGCGGATTTATTCTGGCAAGACAAGCTTTTAAGGAAAATGTTTTTACCGATTGATTTATATTATACCAGCGCCCAAAACCCGCTTCGCGGGCCTCGGGCGCTGGAATGCGGCCTTTGCATGAAAAGTTTGACTTTCTGATAACTCGGGTCTTTCAGACCCCCTTCCCTCTCCCGACCAAATCCGCGAGTGCAACCGGCAAGAATGAGGAAATTTGTATTTTTTCACATTATGCAAATTAGCCCGCCCGGACCCCCAAAAATCAATAAAACCGGCTTTAACGTTGTAAACTTGTATTTTATCGGAATTCTGAAAGCGCCATCGGAAAGAGGAGGGTCGATTACCCCGGGTGACGGAGAATTGAGGCGTTTTGGACACGGGAAGGCCCTCAAATCGAGCCTCGAAACTGACCTCCGCACACACACACAGACAAAGATATAAGGTACCAAATTATATAAGGTAGGATATCGATTTTATCGATTTGCGGCATTTTTGAGGGTGCTGGATATTTCGAACATAACAAATGTAGTCGAAAAACATTGTGACGGCTGGAAAAGGCCGGATTTCAAAACATTTTTATTATTGATGAACTTTCAGCCATCATCCGACCACGTCTCCGCTCGGGCCCTCGCCAACGCGCGTGCCGACACTTCATCCACCTTGGCCACTTCTCAGGTGCGAAAGGAGAAATTGGATTCTTGTGTATTCCCGGGGGGGACCGAACTTTTTCCGCCCCAAGCCTAGATTTTTTTAATATAAATAGTGGAAGTGTTTCTAAACTGTTCATAGCTATTTCTAAGCATAAAAACTTTACAAAATTTAAGTATAAATAGAAATTTATATATAGTAGATTTTAGGTCGAAAAAATTATTTTTAGTGATCTTTGCAGTATTTGAATATTTCCGAGAGGAGCTAATTTGTGCTGTATTTCCGGAAATGCCTAGTCTAATAGTATTCTAATTGCGCTTTTTTCAAAATATTCTTTGCAAGCAGATTTGGGAAAATTTGTCTAGTTTTACGTTTAGTAGTATTACAAAGCATTTCGCCAGCTGGCTCGACTTTACTTTGGAAAAAGTGCGCACTATGGGAAAAAGGATGTTTCCCTCACCTGATATTCCAAGGCGCCCACTTTTTTGCCATTACGCATTATTTATTCGATTCGATTCGATTAATTCCAGGAAATTGTCGATCGACCGTCGTCGTCGGCGTGGGCCCATTTGTGCGCGTTCGGGGCACGGATTTTGGCTCGCCTATCTTGCTGCCGTCGTCCAATGGTTGGTGCACTCGTCGAAAACATACAAATGGGGCGAATAGGGTGCTAGAACTGTTAGCGGGGGCACATTTTTGCTTTTTTTTCGTCGATTTCTAGCTGTTAATAGTAAATAATGCATTTTTATGGTGTTTTTAGTCGTTTTTCTATTGATAGAAAGTCACAATCAAGGATTTGAGGGCCTGTAATTCGTATCATTAAAATCTTTTTAAGAAAGAGGAAAATGGAACGCTCGATGATCAAGCCACAACGCCCAAGGAGGTCGACGGCAAAAACTATCCCGCCCTTCCACATCCCTCTTTCTACGACACACAAGGCTGCGAGTTCAAGCCGCCCCCCGATCGCGTTGACTCGGTGAATATTTATCTATTTCTTTCCTTAAGTCGTTATTTATCTATCTATTTTTTCCTGGAGGTACCGGTTGACCTAGTAATCAAATATATAAAAGTTTCAACTATATTTAAAATAGCAAACCTTTCGATTATAAGTTAGAAGAATGTTTGAAAAAGTCGAAAATTTGGCCTTTAGGATCTTCGACCAAAAATTAATTTTTTTGTATCAAAATTTGTGTAGTTTTTATGCGTAGGAATAGTTAAAACCCATCTAAAAACGCATCCGCAATTTATAAAAAAATTTAGGCTTGGGCCGAAAAAAATTGGGGAATAAGGGAATATCGCGTAGTATACTCTGCCGTATACCCCCTGGGGGGTATGGCAGTGTATACTACGCGATATTCCTATGTTCCGGTCATTTTCGTGCTTCGCAATGTATTACAAAAATGATCAGCGCCTGAAATTAGATATTATCCTGAAGTCTATATTCCTATATTGAATATTCCTATATTCCGCTTTTTCAGGGCGCCGTGCCGCACAAGAAGTAAACCCCAGTGCCTCCAACCACCACCTCGACTACTACCACAAAAACCCTAAACCGACACGTGTATTTCCTTTCCTTTGTTCCTGTGTGTCCTGTGTTTGAATAAATCGTCTGGGTGACGTTACAGGCGTACAGGCGTGCATTGCGCCAGGAAACGTGTAAAAATGTTACAAGAATTTGTCTCGGGTACTATTTTACGACACGAACGTAGCGCGTACAGGGTGTCCCAAAAAAACTTTTACGTCTTTTGTTCCTGTCTTTTTGTCGCAAATTTTTTAATTGACGAAAAAGACGTTTATATTGGGAATTTCCATCCCTTTTTACTATCAAACTTGACAGAAACCGACCGGCAAATGAAAATTTTTTCGGTAAATAACTCAAAATCGGCATGCTAATTGCGAAAACATAGCCAAAAACCAGTGGAAAAAAGCCGCTTCGCGGCACTTTTCCACTGGCCACTGCTAGGTCAACATGACTCTGACCTCTCCAAAGTCAACCCGGAATTTTATGTGCCGGCCGTCGGCCGGTCACATAAAGCTGAAAAATGGATTCAAATATACAATTCAAAAAAATTTAGAGATAATTATGGCAAAGAACCAACGTCGAGGTAGTTAGACACATATTAGGCACATCGCTACGCTCGGCGTTGTCTTAAAGGGAAGTTAAAATACCGGTCAAAAAGAGGAAATGGCTATCGTCGAAAAGACCAGGAAGGGGATTTCGTCGCGAAAAAAACGTAAAATATTTGAGTAACACCGAAAAGTTCTCGGGGCGAAAACGGCATTTTGAGTGGGCTGCAATTCATGTCGTAATGCCTTGTAAGGCACTGCATCTCTCGAAAAACTGGTAAAACAAAATGACGGCTCCAGACTCTATTTTACCTTACTAAAAACACGGTTAACATGCTCCCGATAAAGTTATCAGGTATTTCCTTTTACCCCCCCCCCCGATAATGCCAAAGAACCAAAAAGAAAATTGCAGGTTTTGCAAGGCAAGGCGCAGCGCGAACACCCGAATGAGGGCTCCATCTACCACTCGGATCAGTTCGCCATGATTGGTGCGATTTTCGAAAAATGTTTTTTCCTAAACTGTTTCATTTGGGCTTTGCGATTATGGTAAGAGTTTACTTTACCCCCCCCCCCCCACAGCCGAAGGGTCTTAAAGTTGTCGGTATTTTCGCTTATTTTGTCGGGATTTTTGCAACGCCATTCGATAGAGCGTCGAAAAATATACTAAGAGTTTTAATTTGAGCCTACAACACCGTAAAATAAAAAAGTTATAGCCAAAAACTTCCGGCTGGGGGGTAGAGTAAACCGTAGCCGCGATTATATGTATCAAGGGACAACGACATTTTTAGCTCGGATATGTTTCATAAAATCTTCAACAATGACATTTTTTATTTTTGGTGGTTTCGCCTTTTTTTTATTTTTTGCAGATAATAAGAATTGTTCTTATAAAGTTGATGGCAAAATGACACTATATTTACAATATTTAAACCAGTAAAACCATCTAAAAATAAATTAATAATTCATCCATTACTATTAAATATTTTTGACTCTTAGTCGATTCAATTCATCAATAGGTCCTCGATGAAGCAATCTGGGGAATGAAGTGACGAGAGGGCTTTGCGCAACCTCTTGTTTCAAAACATTTCTTTTCAACGGCAACAACAATCCACCTATGAAGCAATCAGACCGACCTTTCAGCTGATTTTTCGCATCAAAGCTGGGAAATAATTAATTGGAGTATCAGCTAGAGGATAAAACGAGTCCAGTAGTCGCCAGGAGGCTGCACTTTACGTAACTAAAATCCCAAAAGGGTCGAAATTTTTGCAATCTTGGAGATATTTGGCGGTTATACTATGAGTTTTTATAACAGCTCCAAATAATGTCATATCAAAAATCGTAGTAAAACCAAAATAACTTCAGAAAATGGAAGATCAATGCTGATTTTCAAAATTTCCGCGGTTTTTTCGGCATTCTGGAGACGCCATTCGATTCAGAATCCAAAAATATAGTCATTGTTTTAATGCGAGTTCAAAATAATGTACGGGGTAAAAATATACGATAGGATTAAAAAAATAGACCGCCAATCGAAGCCGCCAAATTTGCGAAACATTGATTTCGGCTAATGGATCCTTTTTGGGAATGTTTGGGGTTGGCTAGCGGAGATGTTGGGAACTGAGCAGAGGGGGTCGAACTTTTTCCGGCCCAAGCCTAAATTTTTTTAATATAAATAGTGGAAGTGTTTCTAAACTGTGAATAGCTAAGCATAAAACTTTACAAAATTTAAGTATAATTTTAGGTCGAAAAAATCATTTTTGTGATCTTTGCGGTATTTGAATATTTCGGAGAAGAGCTAATTTGTGCTGTATTTCCGGAAATGCCTAGTCTAATAGTATTCTAATTGCGCTTTTTTCAAAATATTCCTTGCAAGCAGATTTGGGAAAATTTGTCTAGTTTTACGTTTAGCAGTATTACAAAGCATTTCGCCAGCTGGCTCGACTTTACTTTGGAAAAAGTGCGCACTATGGGAAAAAGGATGTTTCCCCCATCTGATATTGGAAAGGCGCCCACTTTTTGCCATTAAGCAATATTTATACGATTCGATTCGATTAATTCCAGGAAATCGTCGATCCATCGTCATTCACGTTATTTTTCGTCACCAAGCTCTCTCCAATTCTGCAACATTGTTTTCCGGCGACAGTTGACACAGACGACAGCGACAGACCGTAGTCGTCTTCTCGGTGCAGGTGCAATTTTCGCAATTTATCTAAAACAAAATACCTCTAAAAATTAAACAAAAAAAAATAAAAATTAAGTATTTACTGGCGAAATTTACAGCAACAACGCGCAATTTATTCTAGAGAGACCGATATCTGGATTCGCGTTATTTTTCGTCACCAAGCTCTCTCCAATTCTGCAACATTGTTTTCCGGCGACAATTTGCCGTAACACTGAATAGACAAAGATGAATTTTTTAAAGCCAAACTTTTGCAGCACAAAAAAAATGTATCTCAGAAATGTTTTATAGCATAAAAACTATTGCTGAAAGCTATGGGCAACACATAGGATGACAGGGGCCCTATTTGGAATATTTTGTATAGGCCATTCGAAAGACAGCCGAGAAATATGCTTGAGAGCTTTTTAAAGCCTGAAAACCCATAATTACAAGTATTTTTATTAGTAAAAAATCTTGTCCCTCTGTTAAAATGCGGCGGTGAAAGAAACGTACAGTCTAGATTCATGAGCCGCAGCCACGCATCAAATATATCGACAATTTCGTGAAACACAAAAATTTAATGCCTAAAATCGTGGAATTTTTAAGATTTCTGGAGTTCTTTGTGTTACAGATTGTATTCTTCATTCTATTCGGCATTTTCGCCCGCTACGACAATGAGTCGATGCCATCGAGTGGGAATCCGGATACGGAGAACCCGCTCACCGTCACCGCCACTTATCCGAGGCGGTTAAATTTTGATGTTACGAAAAAATGCCCCTTTGTGGAAAATAATAAATCAGTAGTGCTGTCTCTCAATGTGCATTTGTGTGGTCTCGCATACAACTCGAAGGGGAAAGGAGCTAGAGTTACAAGCTACAAGAATTTAGCTCTCTTCAGATTCGGATAGGGCGTCGTCAGAAAACCCGGAAAAACCCTTTTTGGACTACGCGATATTCCTATGTTCGGATCATTTTCGTGCTTCGCAATTTATTACAAAAATGATCAGCGCCTGAAATTAGATATTATCCTGAAGTTTACATTTTCCTATATAAGTCTATATTCAGGGCGCCATGCCGAACAAGAATTGAACTTCGCTGCATTCAACTACCACCGCCAGCCGCCCTCTAACCTAAATCTTGCCAGCATAGATATATCGGTCTTTATGTATTGAATTGATGCTTTTTGTCTCGTTTAATAGGTCGACTGCTTTACCGAAAAGTTGCCCAAAAAATTGAAACATATTTCCCGAAATGCTCCAACCTCTCGAGTCCAATCTGGTATTTGCCGGTCGCGCGGAAATCGTCGGATACAAAACCGCGAATGAGCAACGCCCATTCGATTGAGATAACCGAATCTTACTTGTTCTACTTATTATTTTTTTATTAACCTTTAACTTTTTAATTTAATTTAATTATTTTTATTAAAATTCTATTAAAAAAGTTACTTGAATATAACCGAAAAACATTTTGCATCATTTTTAATGGTATTTAAAGATCTTTAAGCGGTAATGAGATAAAACAACAAGAATTACTTATAAATTTGTTTGGAAAAGAAATGTTTTGAACCTAGAGGATGCCGAAAAGCTTTTCCGTGCAGGAATTTACTTCTTGTTCGGCATGGCACCCTGAAAAAGCGGAATATAGAAATATTCAATATAGGGAATATAGAATTACCAGTGGAAAAAGACCGCTTCGCGGCCCTTTTCCACTGGCCCCGTCCAGGAACCATGAATTTGAATAGCTTCTTTTTAGCCTGCGGCGCAAGAACCTGAGTCAGACCATTCTTTAGCCTGCGGCGCTAGCTACTACTTTTTCTCCCGGATTTAGCCTGCGGCGCTAGAGCGAAGGCCAGGCCTAAATCGCGCATACGGAAAGCCTAGAAATATGTTTTGTTGCTGAACTACAAAAAAGCAAAAAGCTAAATTTCGCGCGGATCCGAACCCGCGACCCGCAACGCCGTAGCCCCGGCCTTGATCCACTACACCATAGGGGGGAGGTTGGAACGGGCAGCGGTAAAGGCCTCTTCATATCCTGGGGGCAGAACCGGGCTGTGCTAATAGGAATGGGCCCCAGCACCTACCCCAGGCAGGCCTTCAGGCCACTTTGCAAAATTCAACTTTTGAGGTAGAAGCTGGTCGAATTTTGTGAAAATAATAAGATGCGCGTGATCCTCGCCATTGAATGCATGAGTGGTCAAAAATACAGGTCCAAAATCGCCATGTGTATTGAGATATGGCCTGGACACCACCGCCCGTGACAGGATTTATTAAGGACCTTCCAG